CCCTCCCCCTCTTCTAGCCACCACCCCTGAGGCCGAACTCCCCGGTACCCCCATGAACCAAGCCGGCACCGCGACCGTTGTCCCTCTCTCCTCCATGCAGCAGCCCAACCCGTCCGTCGGCGGCGGGGCAGGCACCAGCACCGCCCCCGGGGTCTTCCAAGCCGGCCAGGGATTGCTCCTCTCGCCGATGCAGATCCTCGGCTTCCCTTCATCCTCCTCCGGCGACCAGTCATCCATGGGCTTGCTGTCGACCGGCACCAGCGGTCAGCTACTGTCCTCGCAGGACATGTCCTCGGCCAATATCGGCTCTTCGCAGCAGCAGCAGCAGCAGCAGCAACAGCAACAGCAGCAGCTCCAGCAGCTCCAGCAACTCCAGCAACTCCAGCAGGTCCTGCAGCTTCAGCAATCCGGCCAGCAGCAGTCACCATCGCAGCAGCAGCAGCAGCAGCAGCAGCAGTCGCTCCTGCTCCTGCAGCAGCTCCAGCAGCAGCAGCTCCAGCAGCAGCAGCTCCAGCAGCAGCAGCTCCAACAGCAGCAGCTCCAGCAGCAACAGGCCCAACAGCTCCAGCAGCAGCAGCAGGCCCAGCAGCAGCAGGCCCAGCTTCGCCAGCAGTTCCAACAGCAGCAGCAGCTCGTTCAGCAGAACCTCCTCCTCCAACAACAGCAGCAACAGCAGCAGCAGCAGCAGCAGCAGCAGCAGCTCCAGCAGCCTGGCGGCTCTCTCTCAAGTGCCCAAATCCTTTCCCTGCTGACTAATTCCGGGTCGTCCGGGACTGGCGACATCTCCTCCCTGCAAATCAGTCGCCTCCAGGCTCAGCTCCAGCAGCTCCAGCAGCAGCAGGCCACTCAGCAGGCCCAGGCCCAAAGCAAGCAGAGCCAGCAGCAGCTTCTCCAGCAGCAGCTTCTCCAGCAGCAGCAGCAGCTCCAGCAGCAGCAGCAACAACAAATTCAGCAGCAGCAGCAGCAGCAACAGCAGCAGGCCCAGCAGCAGCAGCAGCAGCAGCAGAAGAACCAGCTGTTCATCGAGACGCTCCTGCATAAGCAGCCGTCCGGCACCGGAGTCCAGGCCTCCTCCTCATCCTCCTTGCCGATCGACCTCCATGGCGGTGTTTCTCCAGCACGCGGGCCTTCCTCCTCCTCTTCCTCCTCGTTGGCCGCTTCACTGGGACTCATCCAGCAGAATCTGATTTCCAACAACGCCGGAGGCAATGGGGCCCTTCTGTCGCAGCAAATCCAGCAGATCATTGCCTCGCTTGAGGACGGCGGCACCGGTGCCGGTGATGCTGGCGCCGCGACTGGCGCATCCAACGCCGCGCTCATTTCATCCGTGCTGAATTCCACTGCCACCGCTGGCATTTCCACCGGCCCGACTCCCGGCGGCACGGCAACCGCCTCTACCACAGGTGGCAGCAGTGCCGGCGGAGCGTCCGAAGGCCCGGCATCGGCCATTTCCTCCCCCTCCTCGACGGCCGCCGGTCCAGCTGGCAGCCCCTTCCCAGCTGGCGGCATGAAGTCCGATCAGGGAGGTGCCCCAGGGGGGGGCTCGAGCCTTCCCCTGGGCGGCGGTGCCAGCCCCGGCCCCGGCAGCGCCCTTCTGTCGGACATGCTCTCTCGGCCGGCGGATGCTGCTTCCAAGTCGACGACCGCTAGCGCCGCGGCCGCGGCCACCACCACCACACTGCCGTCCCCGGCCACGCTGCCGTCCCCCGCCCCGGGGTCCTCCTCCACCACCACCACCACCACCACTCCTGGTCCCTCGGCCACCGGGCAGCAGGACACCTTCCTGTCAGCCGGGGGATCTGCCGCGTCGGCCAACGATGTGGCGGCCTTCCTGGCGTCCATGGCCTCCTCCAATCGGATCAAGTCCTCGGTGTCGGCGGCCCCCACGACGGATCCCCTGCCGGCGGATGGCGCCGTGGTCATGGTTTCCTCCTCGCAGCAGCAGGCCCAGCAGCAGCAACAGCAGCAGCAGCAGCAGCAACAACACATCAGCAGCCAGCCCTCCTCCTCCTCCTCCTCCTCCTCCTCCTCCGCCGCCGCCGCCCCCGCCTCTTCCCAGGTCCAGCAGGCCGGTGCGTCGCCTCAGCCGCAGGGCACCGCCTCTCGCCCGGCGTCGGGCATTAGCCCGGACCTGCTGGCTTCACTTCTCCAGCAGCAGGTGGCGCAGCAGCAAGCCCAGCAACAGGCGCAGCAGCAGGCGCAGCAGCCCCTGGTCGCCGGGATGGCGTCCACCTCATCCTCCTCATCGATGCTGCCGCCGCAACTTCTCCAGGCCATGGGCCGGTCAGCTCTCCTGCCGACCTTCAACGCCCCGGATATCGGCACCACCTCCTCCATGGTCAACCGCGCGGGAGCCAGTTCCGATCTGTTGCCCGCCCCGGCCAGCCCCCTGCTCCTGGGCGTCTCCTCGTCAGATGTCGGGCTCGGTGGCGGTGGCCTTGCCCCGCCGCCGGTCCAGCTGCCCACTTCGGCCTCCCCCTCGACTCTGTCCTTGCGCTCGATCCCCCTGCTGTCGTCGAGCATCGGTACTGGTGGCACCGGCGCCGGGGGCCATCACCTGGACCTGGCCCAGCAGCTGCAGCAATCCGGCGCTGGGCTTCTGTCGGAGAGCCCCTCCCTTGGCCCCGGCGGCCTTCTCCCTGGGGCATCCAGCCTGGGTCTCCTGCCCGGGTCTGTGATGGCCGGCTCCGGCCCTGGTGGCATGCTATCCTCCTCGACCTCGCTTGCGGGGCAGCTCGACCCGGCGACCCTCCTCTCGCTGCATCGGCAGATCAGTGCCACCGGCGGTGTTTCCTCTTCCCTTGTCTCCAACCCCTCTTCACACATGGCCGGTGGTGCGCTGCTCTTTCCCCGTCTCCCTGGTTTTTCTTTCTCCTCCTTCTTTCCTTTTCTCCCCTGCTGACAATCTGCCTCCCCGCCCCCGGCCCCCCGCCCCCTCTGGTCGCCTCTTTCTCCGCATCCCCCTTTCGCCTCCATCATCATCCACACGCACACAGTCCTCTCCTCCGCCGGCTCCAGCAACTGCTCTTCCAGTGCATCGTCCCCCTCGCCTGTTCCCTTCCTGTCGATGGTCGGAGACAATGTCCCGGGGCTCCACATGAAGGCCGACTCCGTGGCTGATTCTTCCTCATCGCCGCAGATGGTTGCCAGTGCGCTGAAGCTCATCGGCCTGGATCCGGCTGCCGCGGCGACTGCCGGCCCGAATGGGCTTCTCTCCGGCACGACCACCCCCATGCCCGGGTCTCCGACGGCCGGCGGGCCCCTGGTGCTTTCGTCCCCCGGCGGCGCCAGTGCGCCTGGTGTCGGTGGTGGCAGCGTCTCCGGCAGCACCGGCGACGGGGTGCCCTCCAATGCCGGCGGTGCCGCCACCGGCAGCAGCGGCAAGTCCAAGTTCGGCGACAATTCCGCCTTCCCTGGGGCCCTGCTGGCGGACCCGAAATCGCCAGCAGCCCAGGCCATCGCCGCTGGGGCCACGCTGGTCCCCCTGCCGCTGACGCACGCCCATGCCTTGGCCACCCCGGGCACCCGCAAGCTCACTTACCTGTGCACGCATCCGGACTGCCGGCATCGGGCCCCGTTCAAGCGCTTCCAGCACCTGAAGCGCCACCGGCTGACGCACTCCGGCGAGCGGCCCTTCGCCTGCGAGGAGCGCGGCTGCACCAAGACCTTCGCGCGCCTGGACAACTTGACACAGCACCAGCGGACACACGGTCGGCATGCGGCGGCGGCGGCCGCCGCCGCGGCCGAGGCCGCCGCCGCCGCCGCTGCTGCCACCAACTGCCCGCTGTCATCCGAGCTGCAAAGCCATCACATCCATGCGGCGGCCCTGGCTGTTGGGCATCACCACATGCATGGCGGCGGCAGCATGCACCCCCACCACCACCATCACCACTCGGACCAGCTGTCGTCTTCGTACTCGCCCTCGGGCTCGCCCTCGCCCGGGCTCAATGGCGGCAGCGGCGCCGGCGCCGGCGGCAATGGCAACGGCGGTGCTCTGGGAAGTGGGTCGTCGGCCAACAAGCGCCCCCGGCCGGCCGGCGGCTTGGCTGACAGTCCCTCCTCCGGTGGCAATGATGCCAATAGCATGGCCAAGAAGATCAAGCGTGCGGCCCTGGCGGCTGCCGCGATGGCCGCGGGTTACTCTCCCTCTGAGGCGCGTCACTTTGAGGGATGAGAAAGGTGTCTGGTTGACGGAAGAGGAGGGTGGGGTGTGCGGCCCACCTCCTCCCCACTCCCTCTCCTCCCCCACCACCACCGCCCACGATGAGACGCTTGCACGCGCGCGCCACAGGCGCAACGCGCTGTTTGTATTGTGCCATCACGTCTAGATGTTTCCTTGTTGTTTCCCCCCTCTCTTGCCCCCCTCCCCCCCCCCCACTTCCCGCTCTCTTTCTTGTGTTTTCCCTTCATTCCATAATATACCCTTTCTCTTGCCCTTTCCCCTTCTCTGTTGTGCTTTTTTTCCTTTCACCACTTTGCCCGTGGATGTAGGCGCAGAAGTGTGTGTGTGTGTGTGTGTGTGTGTGTGTGTAGGCTGATGCGTGAGACTGCATGCGCAGGCGCCCCTCTCACACGCACATATGAGGCACACGAAATGCTCACATGCAAGTTCGTGAATAGAGGGAGTTGGGCCGGGCCAAGCATGCGCGAGACAGAGTGGCTCCTACCAAGTGCAGCTGAGCACGAGGTGCAGCCGTCGCCCCTTCTTCCCGCCTTTGCACACACCCAGCTCCCCGGCATGCGCGCCGGCGCGCCCGGTCCCACACGGGCATGCCCCGGCGTCGGCGACTGGACGCGCCCTGCCGCGGATGTCCACCTGGCAGATGGTCAGCCACACTTCTTACACAGCGCCCAGGCACATGGGACATCGTCCCCTCCCAGCAGACACACACACACACACACACACAGCGCAGTTACAAGCGACAGGATCAGCCAGAAATGGCAACAGCAGTAAACAATACCCAACGATGTATTCCTCTTTCGCGGGTGTCTTTCAACAGTACACTAGCAGGGAGAACTGCTCTCCATGGAAATCTAAAAATATTAATACCATCACCGCACACACTTCAGGCAAGGTGCTTCATGATAGACTGGGCCAGGCCACGCAGGCGCGGCTCACCGGCCCGGGCAAAGGCATTCAGCACCTTCAGCAGGACGGTGCGAGCGCGCATCTCCTCCCGGACGTCGGTGGCCCGGGCGCCGGTGGCCCCCTGCAGGCCGAGATCCGCCAACACCGACGCCGGGGCTTGGCGCACCGAGATGTCCGCCTCCAGCATGGAGTCCAAAGTGTACAGAACACGCTGGTAGATGCTCATGTGCTCCGGGGTCATGGTCTTGGGCCCGAACTCCAGCAGAGTGTCGGTGGAGTTGTCCAGGAAGGAGGACTCCTTGCTGGCCAGCAGCCGAGCCACGGCCGGCGCGCTGGACAGGATGGCCAGCAGCCCGCCAGCGGCCGAGCGCGTGTCCAGCGCCAGACGCTCCGCATTGGCGACCCCCTCCTCGCGATCGGCCATGGACATGGCCAGGAAGATGCGGAGCTTGTCCACGGAGTTGATGTGCTCCACCAGGGCCGAGAAGACCTGACCCCGGCGAAGCAGGCCCATGTCCAACGGGCAGTAGGCGCATCAGGCGTCATGTTAGAATGCGATGCTGAAGGCGTGCGGGGAAAAGACACAGAGGCAAAAAGCAGACCGCCGGGGTTCCTGTCTTCACCATTCGGCGCACAGGCACACATGCGCACAGGCACACATGCGCACAGGCACACTCACAGACACATACTCACACACACACACACACACACACACCCACACACGTATACGCACCGGTGGGTAGTAGCTCAGGTTGCAGAGGAGAGCGCAGGCAGCGAAGCGCACACGAGCATTGTCATGGAAGAGCAGCGCCTGGGCATCCTTCAACACGTTCTCCTGGAAGAGGCGCTGCTGGATCCGATCGTCCCCCTTGGACGCAAGGTTGCCCAGGGTCAGGAGCGACTCGAAGATGGCCAGCGAGTCGTTGCCACCGCCGAAGTTGCCATCACGGTCCTTCGGGTCGGCGAAGGCCTGAATGGTCTCGGCAGCCTTGCTCAGCAGCGAGTTGACCACCTTGGAGTCGTCCTCCGGCTGGTCATTGCGCAGCAGCCACACCAGCGGCCGGACCAGCATCAGCGACCGCTCCCCGGGGAAGGCCACCGACGGGTCGAGGGTGGTGCCGATCTTGGCCAGCGCATGCGACGCGATGAAGGAAATGGCGTACGTGATGACGCGCTGACTGCCCGGCACTTCCAGGCGCAGCATTTGGCTGAAGCTCACCAGCAGCCGGACCGCCCCGCATTGGACCAGATACCCGCGGTGCGCGGGGTCCGTGGCCACCGCGTGCAGAACCCGAACCGTCAGGCTCAGCAGCGGGAAAAGCATGCCCGAGGACATGGAGCTGCTCTTGCCGGGGTTGAAGGTCGACGCCAGGTGCACCGCCAGGTTGGTCATCGTGGCCACCAGGCCGGACTCGACCACCTGCGAGACGCGCTTCTTCACATGCTCGCTGCCATCCAGTGGGTGAACCTGGGGGGGCGGGGAGAGGAGGGAGGGGGGGGGGGAGATTGCCGTTGTCGCCGACAGGGGAAAAAACGAAGCAGGGACGGGTGAGTGAGGCAGCGGGCAGAGGAGATCGAGGGGGAGAGAGAGAGAGAGATAAAGAGAGGGAGGGAGGAGGGTGTGCCCCTTTTTGAGGCATTCCATTTGCGCGGGTGGGGAGAATGGCCAAAGGGAAGGGAGCCCGGCCGAGGTCGCGCTTGCCCCTCGGTGTTGGTGGCGGTGCAGGCATGTGCCCGAGCCCCGGGGGGAGGCCCGGGCAAAGGAAGGACACATCAAGACAGGCGTACCTTGGCAGGGCCCTCGCCGGAGATCTCGCGCAGCTTCATGAACTGCTCCATCTCCTCCGAGCGCCGCGGGGCATAGGTGGAAATGTTGAAGATGATGACGGCCACCGCGTATTCCAGGGCATTGGACGCGCCGAAGGGCGAGTCCACCAGCGGCGCGGCAAAGCCGCCGGACTGGTCGCCAGCCGGCGTGGCCTGCTTCTCCTTAAGCCGGGACAGCTCGCCCTCCAGCAAATCGCGGAAGAGCCGAAGCATGCGCTCACTGCCGGCCAGGCGCTCCTTCACCGGAGGCATGGACGACAGGAAGACCAGCGCCTCGATGGCGCCGGCCTGGGCCGTCCGGTCGACCGTGGCCGCCGCGTCGCCCGACGACGATGCCTCCAGCGCATCGACCACCAAGGTGTCGAGGTCCACGCCGCCGAGGAACTCGCGCCGGTCCTTCGGCACCACGGACACCACCTTGGCCAGGATGATCACGGCACGAAGGACAAAGCTGGCGCGCAGGGGACGAGACAGGGGTCAGAGGAGGGAGAGAGGCAGAGGGAGGGGGGGGGGAGAGAGAGAGAGAGAGAGCGCGCGCGCGCGCGCGAGGCAGGGAGAAGGATGAGTCGGAGGGAAGGGGAAAGGGGCCCGGCGAGATGGGGGCCCACAAGCAGGGCGCCCGCACGCACTCGATGTCCGACGAGCGGGACAGGCCACGCAGCAATCCGGCCGCTGGACCACCGGCAATGGCCTGGCGAACGGACTTCAGCGACGAGGAGCTCGCCAGCACATCGAGGATGCACAGCTGCAGGGGCTTCGGCATGTTGCCCACGTCGAAGGAGTACACCATGTTGTCCAGAAGGCCCTGGGAGAAAAGCACCCCGGAAGAGAGCTCCGGGCTGCCGGCGGCCACGCAGGCCAGCGCCCGCAGAGCCGCATGCTTGGTGGCCAGGTCCTCCACCGAGTCGATCGGATCGCGCAGCAGGTCCGCAAGGACCTGCGCCGTTGGGCAGGAGGGGATCGGGGCAACGGAGCGGCATCAAGACGAGGCATGGACATGGTGAGTGCCAAGCATGAATGGGGGAGGGCAGGTGACCGGACGGAGAGGCAGCGGGGAAGCGCAAGAACAGGGGGCCGAGGAGGGGGGGGGGGGGGGGGGGGGGCAAACACAGCCGGGCTCGAAATGCGCACCGCCTTGACATCGTCAGTCATGACCTCCACCGAGGCCAGCTGGCGGAAGAAGTAGGAAACCGAGGACCGAAGCATCGGCAGGGCGGTGACGGCCCCGGCCGGGGCAGCCTCGCCCGGCCGCGTGCCCAGGCTGGCAAAGCGCAGGAGCAGCGAGAAAACCGGAGTCGCCAGGATGTACTGCACCAGGTTGGCGGCGTACGTCTGGCAAAGAGGATCGTCCGTGATGGACGGGGTCACGGCCCGGGCCAGCAGGGTCACCCCCGAAGCCAGGGCCGGCTCACGGGCCGCCAGGCAGGCCCACCGGTGAGCGGCCAAGTCCACCGGGAAGTCCACGAACACCGGCAGGGCCATGGACCGGGGGCCGGGCTTCCGGCCGCCGGCCGCCTGGCCACCCTCCGAGGTGATGATCCCATCGATCTCGGCCCCATCGCCCACAAGCAGGCCCAGCCCCTCGACATCGGCCAGGGTCAGCTCGCGCAGGGCGGACACCAGGGCCGGGTAGTCCAAGATGAAGAGCATCTCCAGCAGGGAAATCAAGTGGATGGGGAAGTCCCGATACAGGGGATCATGCCCGCGCTGCTCGACCAGGCGCTTGCTCAGGTCCCGGTCGGCCAGGATGTCATCGGACAGGTGGGCCACGCTGTGCGCCAGGACGGCCGACAGGGCCCCCTGTGCGGCCAGGGCGGCCACCGTGTACGTGGTCTCCGGCAGGGAGCCATCCTTGGGCCCCGTGAAGGACTGGTGCAGGGAAAGCACCGGCAGAAGGCGAGCCGAGGCGAATTTGCGCGCCGGCTCGCTCAGATCCAGCGAGTCGGGGAAGGCCAGCGCCGGGACCAGGGCCTCGGCCACCAGGCGCCCGGCCACCGGCGACGACTCGGCCACCAGGGCCAACGTCCGGAAGAGGACCGCCGAGCGGTTGGGCGGGGTCCGCGGCGAGGCGGCCGCCACCACCAGCAGGTTCAGCAGCCGGGGGAGGAAGTCCGGCACAGGGCTCTCAGGGGCCGAGAGCCCGGGCCCAGCCGGCTTCGGCACCTGTGACACCATCCAGGGAGCAAGCTTGAAGACGGCCGCCGCATCTGGCACAGGGGTCAGGGCAGGTTGTGAGGCCGGGCAAACGTCAGTGGTCAATCGGCAGCCGGGTGTTGGTCGTAAGGAGGAGGCCGGCAGGCAACGCACCCTTGAAGGCGGCCGACTGGTCGGTGGAGTACATGACCGAGCTCATCAGCTTGAAGGCCTGGCAGGAGGGGGCCTGGATGCACTTTTTGCGCCGGCAACCGTCGCAACAGGAGCCATCTGCGCGCACGCATCACAGGGAGACGGCATGTGAGTGGACCAGCCGGGCGGGAGGGGCGGGAAGGGCGGGAGGGGCGGCATGGCGACATGGAGCAGGATCAAACGCACCGAGATCCAGGCTGGAAATATCCTCAACAATGCCCTTTGTTGGGCAAGAGGGCGAGGGGGCAATGAGGAGGGAGCAGCAGCAACCGCGGAGGGCCGCGTTCCAGGGAGAGTCAGTACATCGGGCACCGATGGCGGAAAGCACCAAAACCGACAGCAGCGCAGGGGGGGGGGAGACGGCAAGGATCCCGCCCCCCGCCCGGTCAGACTCGCACCATCGAGCGCAGCGTCTCGGTCAGCATGCGGAAGAGTTCCGGACGCAGGGTCGTGTCGCCCGGGCGCAGGAAGATGCTGGACAGGGCCCCGCGCAGCAGCGTGGACGCGGCCTCCCACTCCTGGGCATCGATCTTGCCCTGGGCCTGGGTCTTAAGCCAGACCGGGCACCAGGCTCGCAGGGCCGGGCCCTGGGCAATAACACACGGCTGCGACAGGCAGTACTGACACGCCTGGTCTGCGTGGCCCGCAGGCTGGGCAAGGTTCGGAGAAGCGGCAGAGGACATGCTACTGGTGCTGCTAAACTGCTGCAGCGGTGGTGATGGTGGTAGTGGTTTGTGAAGGGGGAGAGTGGGGAGGGGGGGACAGTGGTGTGGATTCTCCGGAGCAAATGGACCAGCACGAGCGCGACGCAGGGGACGACGACGCGACAGGCAACTAGGAGAGGAAGGAGGGGGGGGGGAGGGGCGGAGAAAGGAGAGGGGGAGGGAAAGTGCACAAGGCCTGTCAGCTCTCGGGCGGCCGAGAGGGGCCCCACCACGGCGTGAGATGACCTCGTAACCTCCTCGGCCTCGGCGGGTCGTCCCCCACCCATCTTGGTGCCCTGACCACCGATGCTCCCCCCCCCCCCCTGTTCCCGGCTCATTGGCCGGGGGCGGGAAAGCACTCTCGGGCGGCCGCCGGCGGCCTTTGTCGCGAAGGTTCAGCGTTGGCCAAGCGGGGCCGCTGACGGATACCCGCCCGGGGCGCCCGAGGGAGGAACACAGCCAGGGGGGATCCACCGGCAGGAGGGAACTAAAAATGGAGAGTAAAGATATGTGGCATGGAAAGGTGGAGACACATTCCGTACGGCTCACGTGTGGGGAGATTCCCTGGCCGGGCGAAACCCATGAGTGTCCCGTGGTCATTGAGAGCGCGCGCGTGAGCCCGCCATCGCGCGCCGTTCCCCCCCCGCCGTCCGGCCCCGGGGGCGCCGTCGGTCGCGGCCGCATGGTGTCCGCGCACGGGCACACACACGCGTCGCCCCGCGCCCCGGCCCCGCAAGCGCGCCGCAGTGTTCGTAGAGGCGTCGAGTGGGGCGGTGGCGCATGCGACGCACGTCCCAGGACGGACCATCCTCCCCTGGTTCGCCGGGCTTCGGCGCGCGGGTCGCGCCCTCGCAATAAAAAAGACATCTTGCAGATGACGCGTGTCCCCCCCCCCCCCCCGCCTTGCTTCCCGAGGAGCGGTCTGAACGGGATCTCGAGGCGTGTCCATGGCGCCTGCCCTAGAATTGGCCCCCCCTCGGCCTCCTGGCACCAGGACCTCAGTCATATCGTGCGCTTCTTGGCACCCCCCCCCTTCCACCGCCCTCCTCATATCGCCTGTTCCTCCTGCCCCTTCCCCTCCCCCTCGTTAGCTCCTTTCTTTCCTTCCTTCTTTCCCTCTCTCTCTCTCTCTTCCCGCCCCCCTCTCCTCTCCCTTCCCTCCGCATCCCGGCCCCCTCTTGCCCTGCTGCCACACGACAGCGAGCCCGAGCGCAAGAGCGCGAAGGAGAAACCAACGCCCATGTCCGAGCGTGAGGAGCTAAAGCGCCCGCTGGCTGACAGTAGTCTCGAGCGCAAGAAGCGCAAGAAGCTCAAGCTGGCCCGTCTGGCCCGGCAGCTGCAGGATGAGATCGGTGACGTTGTTGCCCCGGCCTCGGCCGATGGTCAGTCCAAGATCGGCCCGGCCTCCATCAAGCCGGGGCTCACGCTGGATGTGTCGAAGCTGACGACGAAGGAGCTGCGGAAGTTGCAAAAGCTTGCGGCGCGTGCGGATGCCCGTGTCGCCGCCCGCCAGGCAGCCGCCGGGACTCTGCCAGGCGCGAGCGATGCGACCGATCTCATGCCTGCGGCTCCCCCGGGCGCCGTGGGGAATGTCCCTGCCCCGGCCCCGGCCCCGGCCCCTGCCCCTGCCTTGGCCCCCGTGGATGCGGCCGGCCCGACAGTCGCCACGCAGGCTGCCGGTCTCGCCTCTGCCCCTCCCGCGGTCGCCGTGCCGGCCACCGTGCCGGCCATCGTGGCCCCTGCTCGCGATGCTCCCGCCAAAGACCCACAGCCCCTGACCGAGAAGCAGCTCATGCGCCAGAAGCGCGACAACCTCCGGCGCGAGTCGGCCCTTCTGCCAATCAGCTCCGGTATGTTGCTTGATTCTCTGCCTTCTCCCGCCTGCCCGTTTCTTTCTCTCTCTCTCTCTCTCCCTCCCTCTCTCCCTCTCTTTCCCCTTCCACTGGTTCAGCTACTGACTCCATCTCCGCTTGCCTTCCCTTTCGGGCCTCTCCACGTCCACTGGCTGGATGGGCCAGCCGAGAGCATTATTATCGACCAGATCCGTAAGCACCAGGTGGTTGTTCTCGTTGGTGAGACGGGTTCCGGCAAGACCACACGTGCGCTCCCTGCTCCGGCTCCTTTCCCCCCTCTGCTCGGGCCCCTTTCATTGCCTAACTCAGATGTCATCGATGGCTTTCGCTCGATCCGCCCTTTCGCCTTCCCTCGGGCCGGCACACACACACACACACACACACACACACACACACACACACACACACACACACGCACGCACGCATGCCCACACAGAGGTTCCCCAGTATCTCCTTCGCGCGGAATTCGGCAAGACCGGGGTCATCGCCGTGACGCAGCCTCGCCGAGTGGCCGCCATCACCCTGGCGCAGCGTGTTTCGGAGGAGGTGGGGACCCGGCTCGGGCACCGGGTGGGCTACTCCATCCGCTTCGATGAGTGCTCATCCCCCGGGACGCGGATCAAGTTCATGACCGATGGTATGCTCCTGCGAGAGTTCCTCTCGGACGCGGATCTGACCAAGTACTCGGTCATCGTGCTGGATGAGGCTCACGAGCGCACCGTGCGCACGGACCTGCTCTTTGGGCTGCTGCATCAGATCCTGGCCCGGCGGGCGGACTTGCGCGTGGTGGTCATGTCGGCTACCATTGACGCGGAGCGCTTCAGCGCCTTCTTCGGCGGGCCATCCCGATGCCCGATCCTCTTTGTCGAGGGCCGCCAGCATCAGGTGGTGCAGTACTTCCTCGAGCAGCCGACCGGGGACTACATCGATGCCGCGCTGGTGGCCGTGATGCAGCTCCATGTGGACGAAGCCCCGGGCGACATCCTGGTATTCATGCCGGGCCAGGAGGAAATCGAGTCGCTGGAGAAGATGCTCATCGAGCAGAGCCGTCTCCTGCCGGCGAACTTCCCCCTGCAGCTGTTGCCCCTGCCGCTGTATGCGGCCCTGCCCCCGTCGCAGCAGGTGCTGGTGTTCCAGCCGGCGCCGGCCGGAGTGCGCAAGGTCATCATCTCCACCAACGTCGCCGAAACTTCGGTCACCATCAACGGCATCCGGTATGTTGTGGACACTGGCTTTGTCAAGCAGCGCATCTTCGACCCGGCCACCGGGGTTGAGCGCCTCGAGTCGCTGCCGGTGTCGAAGGCGGCCGCGCGCCAGCGAACCGGTCGTGCCGGTCGTGAGGCCCCGGGCAAGGCATACCGTCTCTTCACCGAGGAGTCGTACCACAAGAACTTGGCCGAGAACACGGTTCCGGAGATTCTGCGGTGCGTCATGTGGCTGTCTCTCTCTCTCTCTCTCTCTGTCTCTTTCCCTCTCTCTGGCCGGCTTGGCCCGCTCTTTTCCTCCCACTGCCCCTCTCCCTGAAATCCGTGGATCTTGCTAATACTGTTGGGGTTCCTTCTTCCCCGCGCCCCTCCTCGCGCAGGACCAACCTGGCGTCGGTGGTCCTGCAAATGAAGGCCATCGGCATCGATGCCATTCATACCTTCCCTCTGATTGACCGGCCGCCGCTCGGGGCGTTGAAGAATGCCTTCGAACATCTGTATGCCCTCGGGTGCCTGAGCGACTCGGCGCACTTGACCCCCCTCGGGCGGAAGATGGCCAGCTTCCCGCTGGACCCGATGCTCGCCAAGGCGCTGATTACCTGCGGGGCGGCCGAGCCGCCGGCCGGTGGGAGTGGCGCTTCGGCCGATGCCTGGACCCGGGCCCTGGCCAGCGTGGCGCCCGAGCTCCGGTCCCATGTGTCCGGCATCGTGGCCATGCTGTCGGTGGAGAATGTCTTCCACACCCCGCTCGAGGCGCGGGAGAAGGCCAACCGGGCGCGGCGCCGTTTGGCCGCCGCCTCCGGCGACCATGTTACCCTGCTGAATGTGCTGCGGTCCTTCGGGGCGGCTGGGGCCCGCAATGCCCGGAAGTGGGCTGACGACAATTTCGTCAATGCCCGGAGCATCGCCCAGGCCAATGACATCGAGCTGCAGCTGGCGCGCGTGTGCGAGCATGCCGGGCTCGGGGTCATTCATCCGACCACCGCGGCCGCCGGGTATCGGGAGTTCAACCGGGCCGCGGCCGGGAGCTCGGCCGGCCGATCGGCCGGCTTCGGCGCTCTGGCTGGCGTGTCGGATGTCCCGTCGGCCGCCCGCTCCGTGGCCATGCTCAATGGGTCGGCCGTCGGGGACAATCCCTCGCCCGAGGCGGCGGACCTGCTGCGTGCTCTGCTCTCTGGCCTCTTCCAGAATACGGCCCTGCTGGAGAAGGATGGCGTCTACCGGACCACCATCAGCCGGCAGCGGGTGTTCATTCACCCCTCGAGCGTGCTCTTCGGCAAGAGCCCGCCCCCGCGGTGCCTGATGTTCAGCGAACTGGTACGCATGCCCTCACCTGGTTGCACCGGGCGAGAGGGAGGGAGAGAGAGAGAGGGACCCCGTCGTCCCATCTCCGGGTCTTTTTTTTTGTCCTCCGCTCCTCCGCCTCTTCCCTCTGTCGCGCCTACTGACCAGTGCCGTTTCCCCCCCCCCCCCCCCCCCCCCCCCCCCCCCGCCACCACTTGTCCCAAAGGTTGAGACCAAGAAGACCTACGTCAAGACCGTCAGCGAAATCGACCCCGCATGGCTGGCCGAGGTGGCCCCCAAGTACTTCGGTCGGCTGTCGCCCTCCACGGCCTCCTCTCAGGGTGATGATGGCGATGCCAGCACGACCCCCCGCAAATAGACGATCTGCTGCCCCGTACACGCGCCCCCCCCCCCCCCCTCCGCGAGTGAGAAAGCACCACCCTCGCCCCCATGCGGCGGAGCAGGCATGCATGCGCATCGCAGCAGCAGTCAGGCGAATGGGCAAAAACATCGGCGCGTGTGTCCTCCCACCGCACGCCCTCCTCTCCGCAATTTCGTTCGCTGGGCCCCCCCTGTCTCTCTCTCTCTCTCTCTCTCTCTCTCTCTCTCTCTCTCTCTCT